CTTAACATATACGGCACCAAGTAATCATGGATAAGTGAAAAAATATAGATACAGGGGAGGGGAAAGAAAAACAGTCAACACCGCGGAGTAAAGATCTGTTTGTTTGTTTACTGCACGCCATTTTGAATATCAATTTCAGGAATCAGAGTCGTAAGTGACCACTTTAAATGCAGTTATATGGTGCACGTCTCTTCTGAAATCCAGTGAGATGTCTATTGTCACCACAGGAGGCCCCAAAGTGGACGGTCATCAAAAATAGGTATTTGATAATGCAAATGTTTTAAAAAGAGCTTGAAATCGTTCATTACTGAATTCCGTTATCACCATATCCAAAGGTTATATATATAACATCGGCTCGAGAACAAGCATAGTGCCAACGCTACAACAATAAAAACAATAACAATGGAGGGTTTGGGATTCAAAGTATAGAGAAAAGACGTAGCTGTTAAAATGGAAGATTACGAATAAATGGAATTACAATTTCTCGTGTGTTTCACCTTACACTTTTTGATATTTTTTTTACTGTTTGTTGTTTTGACAGGACACGAGATTTCGACAGGCAGACCGTACAGCATTTGCGCTACTCACTTCTATTCTAGGCCAGATCTCTAAGTGTATCCAACCAACGACAATTCTCATCCCCAACCTGGTAGGCGGGCTGCACCAACCAAAACCAAAGCTGAAGCTAGCTTTTTCACACCTCTACGCCATGTCTTGGTCTGACCACGTCGGCTCTGTCCAGCAAGTGCAAAGAGAGCACGAAAAGGTAGTCGATGGGAAAACATACGCAATGCGTGGCCAAGCCATCGTGGGCGGTGNCGGTGTAGAGCGATTACTTCTGTTAGGGAACGACTATCCACACCCAACACATGACGACGGACCTCGTCATTGCTCACCCGATGTTCCCACAAGACACGAACAAAGTTCTATGAAGTACAATATCGTCTTTAGTACTTCCAAAAAACGGGAACAAAAATCTCATGATAAATCGTCTATATGGACAATCGTATTAAAACCTTTAGGGTGTTCATAATCTCCAAACTTACTGTGTTTCCCACATTTATACCGGTTTTCGCCAACTGTTCTGCTGCGGCAATGTTTTTTATATCCTTCTCAAAAGTCATATAGTCGACGTTTCCAGGGCTAGTGAGAGATTGGTATCGTTGAGCAAGTGCAGTTAGCTCGGCGGGTGTCACATCTTGTGGTCCAGGAAAGGCGCGATAGAACTATAGATGTTTTAAATGCCGATTTATTGAAAGTCATCGCTCACCTGACTCTCCGTTACGACACCTACATTGTGAACATCAAATTGCTTATAACAATCTCGAATGTTGTACCCTTGATATGTGATGAACCGATGGATTCGGGATAGTAACGGTCTTAGTTTGTTGTATTCATCATCTCCAGGTTTCTTATGGAAAGCCTTTACACCAACAGTGGGAGCACTAAGCCTTAGCGTTATTCTAATGACACTCACTCAATGGTGCTTAAAATTTTGCACTCAGGTGGTACTGTGAAGTCATTGACATCGAATTTTCCTTCGATGTTTGATACAAATTTGCGCCAATCTATATCATCATTATTGATTCCATATTCTTTTCTGATCAACTCTTCTGCCTTGGGATCCAACGCGACCCCTATCAACTGCCTGATGACTCGAAAGAACTGACCAGCTATGTAATTATTATAAAAGCACAATGCATGCAAGCATTGGTTGACTGAATACCTGTCACATAGCCTAAACGAAGCTTATCATAATCGAGGAAATTCTCGGAAAAGCGGCAATTTTTTTCCTTAGCGAGATCTCTGATGTAGCTTTCAACGTGTTGAAGGCTATCCACGCTCATTACATAATAGATACTGCTTCAAGTTCAGCGCTGATTTCTATGGTTATCAAGGTCAGTCAGTTCAGTTCAGTTCAGTTCAGTTGCACAGGACGAATATGGCTCTTGCCAATC